CGGTTACCATTACCGTTAGAAGTGATGAAGAAAGCAAGGGGCTGGAGGGTCCAGAGAGGAAAGGAGACAGTGAAAATGGAAACGAAATTGAAACTGAAAACCTTTCATTGGTCTTACCAGGCTAACTTAAGTTGTTATATATCAGGCTTTCTTTTTTAGCCGCTACTTTATGGATCTTTTTCCAATACAGTTTAATTAGCACATAACTGTTGTTGTACTGTGATCGTTATCTTGTTTTGTGTGTTACGTCGGCTGTAAAATCTAAGTAAGTAATAGTTTTTCGATATACTTGATTACACGAAAGCTTGTGTAGTGGATTTTTTTCGTCGTTTATTTTTAACTTTTTTACAGCCGACTTTTTTTAACTTTTTTGTTTATGCATTTTTATTTCTTTATTGGATTTATTTTTTTGTCAATTTTGTTATAGCGTCTTGTTTTTTCTGTAAAAGATTTGATAGTTGGAAGAAGAACTTAAAAAATGAGAAAAAACGAAAAGGAATTGTCAGTCATAACATTATCGGCATTGATTGCAATTTGCTTATACTCTTCACACAGACACGCGGACACAAATACGCCAACAGACACTGAGATGTACACTTAAATGACACCTAAATCACTAAATGCACATCATTCTGTTCATCTTCATCATCAGCATCGGGACCGGCATCATCGCCAACAACATCGTTACCGCCACCACTGTCATCATTATCATATTTTTGTTCTTCTCATTTCTACTTCTTCTATTATGCTTACAAATTTTGTTCTTTTTACTTGTTGGTTTCTCAAAAAAAAAATGCTTTTTTTGTTTTTGACTTGCGCCTTTTAAAGGCAACATTTTTAAAATGCCATATTTTTTCTTCACTCTCTATCAATTGCAAAACTAGTTTTTCGCTATTACATTGATAATAACAGTAAAAGTGATGCGAAATTGGTCTACCAAACTTAGCTAGAGTTGAGAAATGCTTCATCTAGCTGCCATATGAATCCAATGATAGTCTGTTGAATAAACAGAAAGATCAGCTTCCATTTTTGATGTTTATAAGTCGGCAGCACAGATTTATCATTTCAATTTTTTTTTTTTTGGTTTTTCTTGCTTAATCGTTCTTTTTTTTTATTCTGCAAGTGGCAGAATATATATCTGTGAAGTGGGAAAAATTGTTATAAATGCTTGATTTTTGTTTATCAGCTTGCATTTTAGTTCTGTAACCATTATTGTTGGTGATTTTTGACCTTTATTGCCGTTATCTTTGTAACGTTGATGGCAATAATAATAATAATAATAATAATAATAATAATAATCACTAATAATAGTAATAATAATAATAATCGTAATACTAAGAATTGGAGTAATAATATTAATAACCGTAGTTTAAGTTTTTACTGTTGCTGCCAAAGAACTTATAGATGTTTTTCATGATTTTTTTAATTTAAAAAACTGAGAAATGACAGTCATTGAGTAGCTTCACTGAAACAGTTGATTCAGGCTGTCTTTCACTGATCATAGTGTTAGAAAAGTCCATAATTAAGGCTCGTTCAAATTAAATGTTCTGGCTCTAGATTATAGCCTAAATGCATTGACAGTGCTATGTAGCAGTGATTGATTCGTGGTATATGAATGATTCCCTATTGACTTTTACTATGCTTAGTTTTAGTGTGAAGAGAATTTTAGTCATTTTTTGACTATTAGAGGGCCAGAAGTTGTAAAGGGAAATTCTGTAGTCACTGGAGCAGTCATCTAATAGGTTCTGGCAGCGACTAGTCATGCAGCAGTCAATATTATCTTACACTCTTACTTTTTTTCTATTTATTTTGCATATTTTTCAAAGGAAGGTAAGGGTTGGGGAGAAGGAAGGAGCAAGGAGTAGAAAGGTTGTTTTTTTTTTCTGAATTATATTTTCAATTAGTTTAATCACGCTCCTTGTTAGTATCCTATTTTTATTTGCGTATAGGTGCATGTAGAGGTAGTGCTAATCATTGTCGTAGTCAAATCGGTAACTCAATTTTTTTTTCCAGACAACTAAAAAATTGTTGTTTGTAATTAGATATTTCTCTTTGTTGTTCAAGCTTTATTCCTCTTTCAATGTTCAATTATTTACACAAGATTTTCAGTTAGATTTATTGTTGTTGCTGTTGGTTACTGCGATGTTTATTTTAGTTTTCTGTTTTTTCATTTTGAACAAGAATTCTTATTGAGTCAGCTAAGCAAAGAATGGTAGTTAGATGGATGAATAGGAGGCGAGAGAGAAGGAATAATGCACAACTGTTGTCAGCTTGAGAAAAAATTATTAGGAGATCATTGGAATATCAAATTGGATTTTTAATTGAAATGGTGGTTCTATTTTTTGTGTAGGTGCTTGAAGTTTGTGATACTTCTGCTCCATTTGTTACTTTTTTAACATTTTTTTTTCTTTTCTTTAGTTTTATTTTTGAATGAACCAAAAAAAAAAAAAAAAAAAAAAAAAAAAAAAAAAAAACCAAAAAAAAAAAAAAAAAAAAAAAAAAAAAAAAAAAAAAACTTAAAAAAAAAAAAAAAAAAAAAAAAAAAAAAAAAAAAAATTTGAAAAAAAAAAAAAAAAAAAAAAAAAAAAAAAAAAAAACGAAAAAAAAAAAAAAAAAAAAAAAAAAAGTTTTAAAATTTCAGACAAATGGATCAGTGTTTTGAAAGGAAGTCAGGGTGAAAAGAAAATGAAGTAAGTTTCAAACAATGTGCAGCAAATATGGTGTAAAAATGTGCTGTAAAAGTGTGGTTGCCAGGTTTTGTTTTTTGTTTTTTTTTTTTTTTCTGAAGGGTGAGATTGTCACAATGTTTTTTTGTCCAGTTTCAAATTTTCAATATCAGGCAATGTAACCTTGATCGTTTTGTTTCATTGTTAAAATCACTTGAGTAATATGTGCAGGTTTTTTTTTTTTTTTTTAATAGCTTTTGTTCATTATTTATTAAAAAATAAAAGAAAAATTGTTGAGCAATTTTTTCTTCTTTTTTTTTTTCTTCTGTAGAAGATAGGAGCAGAGGAAAGGAAGTTTAAACGAGTATGGATGAATGTTTTTTGAATGAGGCGGTATTCAAGAAGAAGAATTAAAAAAGCTGCAGCTATAATGGGTTGGTTGATGAGGTCAGTCTTCGTCATTAAATGATTTGGGTACATACAGACAAGGAGAGCTGATCGTTATGGCACTATAGGTATATGCAGTCATTACATTTATATCTATGTAGCCGATTAAGGATAGGGAACGCTTAGATTGTTGGGTTTGATTTTTGTGACCTTAATTAAATGATGTTTAGGGTAGAACAGAAAACTATAAAATGTATCATCGAAACCAAAAAAAAAAAAAA